GCCACAGCGTGCCAGAGACGGCAGCAATGTCATCTCCTCTACACAGTACTACATATACATAATATAGGTAGACGCGATGACGCCCACTTGTGGACTGAGAACAAAGCCATGCGCCTGGAGGGTTGCTTGGTCCACTTCAAATTGGGTGCTTCTAGACGAGGCAAATGCCATTAATAATTAATAGTGTGATTACTTAATAGACAATGTCACACTATTTTGTCGAAATGGAGCGTCAAAAGTGGCAAACGATGGGCAACAGGATCGCGTTGCGTTTGCTTGCCGCAACGAAGTGAGCAACCGCTCAATGGGGAATTCAAACGAGCTATGTGAGCATAGCTACTCCGAGTAGTCGAGGTGGAATCGGAACACTCCTTTTCATTCGTGAATGCTCATCACGACCTGTCGATTGACGACTCCCAGCACCGAGGGACCTCTATATTTCAGACTTGCTTCCTCGCTGACGAGCGTCACTGGCATGTCAATCATCGAGCGACAATCAACGTGTCATGATTAATGGCCAACTGGCGTCGGCTCACAATAGTAGTCGACGAGGATGATAGTCATTGGAGCGAGCTCGTCATTCGCAACGAGGCATGCAAGCCATACGCGTGGACGTCGAGCATCAATTCGGTGCACGTTGCGAGCGCCGAGAGCAAGCTCCGGACAACGTTGATCGTCTCCAGCTTGATGTGGACGTTTAGTGTGCATGACCTTGGAGCGCAGACCCTTTGCAAGGCGTTGGTTAGCATCTCGGCACTGAATACAACGCTCTGTGCATAGACGATTTGACACACACCGGCAGCAACGCAGCGCCGCAGCGCGTCTTGAACGATGTGGGGGTTCTTGTTCAGAAATGTATCGTGGCCCAATCACGTGCGACGAGCACCGTGAGGTGTGTCCACGGAACGCCATTCGCAATGAAGCTCTGCACGATGGCGGTCGTGTTTGTGACGCAAAGACTATGAAGCGTGGACGACGCCTGCGCGAGTGCCGTGTACAGAAGCCGATGAGGCCCAGATGTCGCGCGCGTCCCGATGCAAACCAGCGCTCGACGCTCGCGACAGCATCGAGCGAGTCCTCTGGTGTGTTGAAGATATGATGGAGCTGGAGATTTTGGTAGCCGTGGGCCGGCGTAGACACGGCCGCAAGCACGTCGAGCGTAAACAGAAGCTGAGCAGTCTCGAGATTCGTGCATCGATGCAGCATGTCGAGGAGCTCTTACTGATAGCGCCGCCAGAGTATACCACTCAACGCCCCCAAGGCAACGTCCGTTGTCTTGGCGGCCCAGCGAACGATGAAGCGAAAGAAAGGCAAAGCGTCGTCGGTACGCTCGCTGGCCTCTATGTACGTGGGGCAGCGATGACTGATCGACACGGTATCGATGCACACCGAGGTGAAAGTGGGCATGGCCGACACAAATCGATCAATGTTGGCCTCGATCACGGCACTGAGGCATGGGCGCGGCCAGCATAGGGCCGGCGTTCGTCGCATCGTCAGTTGTAGGAGTTCGAGAAGCGCCGCCAGCGGTGGCGTCACGAGGACCGGCGGCAGCGCTCGAAGGAACGAGATGACGTCTCGATGCGATGGCGCGTACTGGAAGATTGTGACAAAGACGTCAGCGATGTCAAGGACCGATCGTGTCATCGCGCCGCAACGACTTTGCCTTTCCAGCGACGTAGTAGTGACGACCAGCACTCATGGCCGTCAAACGATGCATTTTGGCCAATCACACACCAGTTCCATGGTCCGAGTCGTTCACACTCTCAGTCCAGAGGCCAATCTAGACCGTCAGAATACACTTTGCGTGCTGATAGCATGATAAAGAAAGAGTTGTAGTTAGAGTAGGCACTTGGTGACGCCGTGATGGAAATGCTCGAAGAACTTGTGGTCGAGGAGAGACTAGACTCGAAATATTGTTATTGCTGTATTTCCAGCGATTGTCCGCATAATTATTTGTGCAAGCAGCCGCAGATCTGGCAGTTTTGTGGACCATAGCTATTCTATTCGGGGACCGTAACATAGCGCAATTTTGTTTAGATGTTCCATTCAACGCTGGCGCAGAGTCTCGAGGTCGGTCGCGACACGTAGCTCGGCGAATGCGGTCGGTCGCGACGAAGCCATTGCTCAAGCATAAGGTATGCGGCGCCTCTAGGCTAGCACCGTCCTGCTCGCGCTACTCCCTCGTACAAGCAACGTACATTTCCCTGCATTGGGCGGACACGCCATTCGCTACCGTGCACTGTCGCGATCCCGAGCTTCGTGTCTACCGCCGCTGTCATTGGTCCGTCGCGCGATTCTTATCACCAGTGCAAAGTAGCGAGTTCACTTCCCGTCGCAGTACGCTCGCGTTGTGGTCGTGGCCTCTTTTGTCTGCCGGTCCAAGTTTTGCCATGGTCGGACAACAAATGCCCTGTCTTATACGTGACGCGTCAGGTGGCGCCCCGTTGACGACCGTGCGACGCACCCCTCGGTGGCCGGTCCTGCCCACGTGTCTTCCTCGGCGATCCTTGCTTTGGCACATGCCATCACGCGCCTCCGCGTCCAGCACCCAATCATATCGTATGATACGTGGCGGTCCAAAAACGAGCCAATCACATGGCGCGCAGGCAGCTTCGGGCATCTGATCGCGGCTTGAAGTTGGGCGGGTCGGCGTCGTCGGGCCCCACGTCGTCACTTTTGCATTCGCCATGCTTCGCCACGTGACCCGCAGCGCCCCGCTCCGCGCCTTCTCGACGCTGCCCGCCAAAGACGTGGCGTGCGAGCTCGCAGCCTCGAGCATCCGGTTCGGCACCGGCGTCACGAAGGAGGTGGGCATGGACCTCAAGGAGATGAAGGCCAAGAACGTCGTGGTCTTTACGGACCCGAAGCTCAAGGAACTCCCGGTCGTCAAGGTCGTCATGGACTCGCTGGCGCAGAACGGTATCATTGCGCACTTGTACGACCAAGTGCGCGTCGAGCCCAACGACCACTCGTTCAAGCACGCGATCGACTACATGCTCAACCACCCGGCCAAGATCGATGCGATCGTCGGCGTCGGCGGCGGGAGTGTCCTCGACACGGCCAAAATCGCCAACCTCTACTCGATGTTCCCGCCCGAGGACTTTTACGACTATGTCAACCCGCCCGTGGGCAAGGGCCTGCCTGTGCCCGGCGCGCTCCTCCCGTTCATTGCGATCCCGACGACCGCCGGGACTGGTAGTGAAACCACGGGCGTCGCAATTTTTGACGACACGCGCCACAAGGCCAAGACGGGCGTCGCCAGCCGCCGCCTCAAGCCGACGCTCGGCATCGTCGATCCGGACAACACGGCAACCTTGCCGCCCAACGTCGCCAAGTACTCTGGCTTTGACGTGCTCTGCCACTCGATTGAGAGTTACACGGCCTTGCCGTTCACAGAGCGCCCGCACCCGGGCTCGCCGGTACGTGGCCTTTCTGAGTTTGCCCTTTGTCTGATCCAATACCTTGGGATATAGGTCCTCCGCCCCGCGTACCAAGGCTCCAACCCGATCAGTGATATTTGGTCGCTCCACGCGCTCCAGCAGACGACCAAGTACCTTCGCCGCGCGGTCGCCGACCCCTCGGACGTCGAGGCGCGCTCGGCCATGATCCTCGCGTCGACGTCGGCCGGTATCGGCTTTGGCAACGCCGGTGTCCACCTTTGCCACGGCATGAGCTACCCGATCGCGGCTCAAGTGCGCAAGTACGTGCCGCCGGGGTACGACTGCGACCACGCGATGGTGCCGCACGGTCACTCGGTCGTCGTGACGGCGCCTGCGGTCTTCCGCTTCACGGGCAGCGCCGACCCGGAGCGCCACATGACGTGCGCCAAGACGCTTGCGTGGGGCACGGACCGCGTCTTCAAGTACGAGCAAATGTCGGCGGCCGCGATCAAGGAGGCCGCCGGCGAGATCCTCGCCGACGAAGTGCTCCGCCTCATGAGCTCGCTCGACGTGCCGCTGGGCCTCGAGCCGCTCGGCTACACGAAGGACGACATCCCGATGCTTGTCAAGGGCACGCTTCCCCAGCACCGTGTGACCAAGCTCTCGCCCCGTCCTGCCGGCGAGGAGGAGCTCAGCGCTATGTTTGAGAACGCGATGGCCTACTAAACAACGACAGTAGTACGTAGACAAGATAAAGAAGAAATACCACCAGTCTCTTTGTGTGTAAAATGCACTTAGTCCATTAACCCCTCAACGCCCGTAAGATATATGCTCGGTGGATGCCACTACTAGTGGCTGTAGACGAGGCTAGTTTTGACGGCTCTAAACATTAGTTTTGGCATCGAAAATAGAGCTTGAATCACCACGCATTCAAACACGAGTACTCTTCTTCGTGCGATCAGGTGCTGACCCCTCGGAGCTCTACTATATTTTGGGGTCGGCTCGGCTCGGGTTTCAAGCCAGAGCGATCCATGTTGAGAGTTGCTTGCTCCTAAGCTAGTGCGTCGCTCTGCAATGTAGTACTGAAGCGTCAGCACTGGTCCAGACAATTGCCAACGTTGGCATGACTGTGGATCGCAACAGTCCGAGTTCTGCGCAAGTCGCAATGTCCTGCGAGCGTGCCACGTACTGGGCCAGCGTTTCGAAATAGGCCAATCGTTGGCGAGTATTTTTTTGCACATACAAATATCCTGTATAAGGCGACACAGTTTAAAACAGCACAGGTCAAATGGGTTCAACGTGTCGCATAGCAAACGAACGTGGCGGCGATGACGATAGGACGAAGAAGACGCCCGAAGCGCACCGGTGATGCTGCCCCAGGATCTCGTGCTCGTTGTCGCGCGCTACATTGAAGAGCCGGACGACTTTCTGAGCTTCCTCGACGCACTGCCAGCCGGCGACCGCGGTCCGTCGCTTGGCAGCCTCGTGGCGCTGGCCACCATGAGGCCCGCGTCGACGCTCTGGCCGCGGCTGTTGCTGTCGTCCGTAGCATCCAACCGTCAGCGCAAGCTGCTCTGCGACGCCATGCGCAGTCACCCATGTGTGGAGCTCGACGTTGAAGGCCTTGGGCTCTGGGCACCGCACATCCCTCCGTCGACGCGTCTGCGCATGAGCCTCGAGAAAAGCCACGTGGATAATACGCTCCCGGTTGCCATCGTGTCGGCGCTGTGCGAGCTCGAGATCGTGCTGGACACACCCTCTTCCATCTCAACCTTTGCCTCCTTTCTCCAAACGCTACCACGCCTCCGTGTCCTGCGACTCGAGTGTCTCTGGACCAGCCTCGGCTCACCTCCGTGTCTCGAGCCGCTCCTCGATGGCCTGCGCCAAGTGCGGCTCGAGTCGACGGGCTTTTCGTTTCAGCGAGGACACGTGCTCTCGACGGCGACGGTCGCTGCCATCGCACAGGTTCTCACAGCACAGAGCGTGCGTGACGTGAGCTTCCGCAGTGTCGACGTCACGCCCGAGACTGGCGACTTTTTGTGTGCTGCGCTCCAGACGTCGCGGTCTCTGCAGCGCCTGACATTGCAAGAAAGCCATACGCTGGTGGCGGCGCTGGCGCGAACGACGCGGGAGCTGCCCCATCTGAAGCATTTGGCCCTCAACGACGTGTCGTGGCGCCATTTGGAGACGTTCTGGTCGAGGTTGCCCATCATGAAGCGGCTCTCGACGCTCCACCTGTGGCTCGACCACGGGCGCTTGAACGACGACGAGTTTGGGCGGTTTGTATCGGTCCTCGGCCAGCTGCAGCTTTGGACCCTTCAGCTCCACGCCAAGAATTTGTTGCTCAACTACCCCGGGCGCGTGGCTCTCTTGCTCGCAGCGCTGGCGCCACAGTCCGACCTTGTGGCACTCACATTGCACTTTACCATGCTGAGCAACGACGACCTGTGGACGCTTGCTGCGATGCTGCCGTGTGCGGTGGCGACGCTCGACCTGCGTTACAACGCGTACGACGACGCTGGCGTCGACGCTCTGGGTGCCCTACTGCAGCGGCCTGCGCTGCGGCACGTGGCCCTGGCCGAGACGCTCTCGCGCGCTGCTCAAGACCGCTTGCGTGCGATGAGCCCGAGGACCTTGCGCCTGACCTTTGATGTCAAGTAGTCGGAGCATGCGTTCAAGTAGTTAGATATACGTTTGTCGATACCCTGCTGAGGTCCACTGTGGCGTTGACGTAACTAGTACAATATTGTCTACTAAAGAAAGTCACGCATTACAGTCGATTTGGTTCTTCCCAAGACTGTCATTTGTGCTGCCTGGATCACTTGCATCGACTACGTAGCCACCGGGTCATCGCCCCGTCTTGCGATGCTCGGGCGACAATCGACGCCGGGCGCCAAGACGGTCCAGGGCCGCTTCAACCTGCTCCTGCTCGAGGACGGCGAGTACTTTCTCGACGTACGTCCGTGGCCTTGCGCATCGGCATGGTCCGATTCGAGAACCTTCGACCTGCGCCATTTGGCAATGGCCGGCGACGCAGTGGTCGTAGGTACTCGATGTACCTTCCGTGAGTGCTCGTGTTCTTGCTCGTCGTTGACAGAACACGACGAGTGCTTGCAGCTCCAGGAACGAGCCGTTGCGCGCTGGCACTGGGCCATTGATATACTAGGACCACCATCATGCTTCCGGTCCTTTGAGCGCCTATCGCCCGTGCGCACGGCGGTACCGAGCTGCTTGCAATGGTGAAACCTCTTCGTCCTCTCTCATGTATCAAATACTCGTCGCTCAGAGGCCTTCAGCACTGAGATCTGAGAGTCCACGTGCTAGTACTGTACAGCGTGACCACGCTTCCCGCCACGGCCATGTCCGGATAGATGTTATCTATCCGGACGATCGAAAGTGCTCGAAAGCCCATACAAAGCGCGAGACAAGGATCTTGCCTCCATCATTTTGGATTTGCGGTCATCGAGCGAAAATGGCCAAGATTGTCGAGCTGACGGCTGATGGCGGCGTGAAGAAGGAGATCCTCAAGGAGGGCTCGGGCGAGTTTGCGCCCGCGGGCTACGAGATCCGAGGTACGTGCGCAAGGGCTACGCCCGGTGAAAGGCTCATGGCATGCGGCTAGCGCACTACACGGGCACGCTCCTCGACGGCTCCAAGTTTGACTCGTCGCGCGACCGCGGCCAAGTCTTTACTTTTGTGCTCGGGAAGGGCAACGTCATCAAGGCGTGGGACCTCGCGTTCGCGAGCATGAAGGTCGGCGAGCGCGCGATGCTCACGTGCGCGCCCGAGTACGCGTACGGCGCGAGCGGGAGCCCGCCCAAGATCCCGGCGAACGCGACGCTGCAGTTTGACGTCGAGCTCCTCGGCTTTGCGCCCAAGAAGAAGGACATGTGGGAGATGAGCGCGGTCGAGAAGCTCGCGGAAGCCGAGGCGCTCAAGGCCGAGGGCACGGCGCTCTTCAAGGCCGGGTCGTTTGACGCCGCCCACGACAAGTACCTCGAGGGTGCCAAGTACTGCGACGACGACCACGAAGCCACGGACGCGCAAAAGGTGACGCTCAAGGAAATGCAAACGATCTTGTACCTCAACGGTGCGATGGCGAGCCTGAAGACCAAGTCGTACACGGCGGCGGCGAGTGCGGCCGCCAAGGCGCTCAAGCTCGACAAGACCAACGTCAAGGCGCTCTTCCGCCACGGCGTGGCCCTCATGCACCTCAACGATCTTGACCGCGCCAAGGAAGACTTGCTCGCTGCGGCCAAGCTCGACCCGCAGAACCGTGACGTGCGCCGCGAACTCGTCGTTCTCAAGACCAAGATGGAAGAGGCCAAGAAGGTCCAGAAGAGCGCGTTTGGCGGTCTCTTTGGCAAGGTCTCGATGTACGACGACAAGGCGGCGGTCGCCAAGGTCGTGTCGCTGGACGAAGCCTCGGATGCGTCCAACCCCAAGGTGTTCTTCGACATTACGATGGGCGGCGCGCCGGCCGGCCGTATCACGATGGAGCTCTTTGCGAACGTCGTGCCCAAGACGGCCGAGAACTTTCGCGCGCTTTGCACGGGCGAGAAGGGCGCCGCGAGCACGGGCCAGCCGCTGCACTTCAAGGGCTCGAGCTTCCACCGCGTCATCTCCAACTTTATGCTGCAGGGCGGCGACTTTACGCGCGGCAACGGCACGGGCGGCGAGTCGATTTACGGCGAGAAGTTTGCCGACGAAAACTTCATCTTGAAGCACACGGGCCCCGGTCTGCTCTCGATGGCGAACGCGGGTCCTGGCACGAACGGGTCGCAGTTCTTCATCACGACAGTCACGACGCCCCACCTCGACGGCAAGCACGTGGTCTTTGGCCGTGTCCTCGACGGCATGGACGTCGTCAAGGCCATCGAGTCGGTGGAGACGGACAAGGGCGACAAGCCGCTGTCGCCAGTCGTCATTGCCGACTGCGGCGTGCTCTCGGCGTGATCGTAAGGCGACAATAGTAAAAAGAGAAGGTTGAACATACAGCTTCGTGTGCACGACCTCTTTGAGCCATCGCAGCAGTGTGCGCATCGTGCAGCGGAGCAGCGTTGAAGGCGAGTCAATGGCCAGCCCAAGAAGACCAAGGTTCAAGACGTTGCTCATGGAGGCGGACCCTTGCCTGCAAATCTGCAATCTGCGTGCATGTGTGGGGTAAACTTCGTAAACGATGGGGTCTTAGCGCAGGAGGTTAAAGTCGTTCATGGTCGCTGTGAGCAACTGATGGCCTTCCTCTTTGGTTTGCTCGATGAGCGTCTTGTAGTATGCGCGCTCGCGCGCGTGCTGCTGCCGTAGCCGGTCCCGACCTTGGTGCGAGACGTCGGCGCGCATGGCTTGCTGGCGCCCAGCTTCCCGCTCGAGCTCTTCAGCGACAAGCGCGGCCAGGTGCGTCTGCAGCGCCGCCTTCATTTGCTCCAAGAGTTGTACTTGGAGGTCCATTCGCGAGGATCGCGACAAGCTGGGGTCGGCGAGGCGTTGGAGCAGCCCGCGCCGCGACTCGCGCTCGGCGGCCGCGTAGCGCTACATCGCCATGAGTGCACCGTCGTTTCGGATACACTACCGCCCGCATCGCCTCCATCTTGGCTTCCCAGCCCACCTGCGCCCCGAGCGGTCGCGTCGACTGCGTTTCGGCGTGGACGAGCGGCGGTAGCATCGACGGGCTCGAGAGCGCGTGGGGCGTGAACATGCCCGCTGCGGCGTACCGCGCGGGGCTTCGCGGCGCCTCGCTCGGGACGGCAGCGTCGACGCCCTCGACCTCGAGCCATTCGCCTACCAGAGCTCCATGGTCATCATGGCTCCACGTCATGCCCTCCGTCGCACCCGTCTCGGCATCTTGGACACGCATAAGATCGAAAAAAGAGCCAATGAAAAAAAGGCCCAATTTTAAGCCAATGGCCTTTGGCGAGACGTTGCCCTGCGACGCTTGGAACGAAACCGGAACTGGCGACGATGGCGGAGGCGGAGAACATCCGCGTGGCCGTGCGCTGCCGGCCCATGAGCAAGAAAGAGATCAACGAGCAGGCCGAGTCGTGCTTTACGGTATACGACGCTCCGCCCATATCGCCGCTCCATGACGTGGCGCATTCTAGTGCAAGAACGGCAACGCCGTGCTCACGAATCCGGACAACAAGGACGAGGTCCACGAGTACGCTGCGCATTGCCTCTGGCTGCCTCTAAGGTTGGCGTAGGTTTGGCTTTGACTTTGTATACCCGTGCGAGACGGAGCAGTGCAAGGTCTTCAACGACTTTGGCCAGCCCGTGCTCCAGCGCGCGTTTGGCGGCTACAACGGCACCATCTTTGCGTACGGGCAAACCGGCAGTGGCAAGACGTTTAGCATGGCTGGCATTGCCGGCAACGAAGAGCTCGAAGGGCTCATCTCGCGCATGAACAAGGCCCTCTTTGACCACGTGCAGGTTCGGCAAGGACATGTGAAGGAAGCACATACATCCCGCATGTAGGCCGAGAAGACCAACAGTCCCAACAAGCTCTTCCTCGTCGAGTGTTCGTTCTTTGAAATCTACAACGAAATCATCTACGACCTCCTCGACTCGAGGTTTGGAGTCGCGACTTGGACGTGTGTACCAAGCTTACTACGTTAGCCCTTCCAAAGACAAGAAGAACAAGGGCCTGGAGATCAAGGAGCACAGTGTGCTTGGGATTTACGTCAAGGACCTCCAAGAGCGCGTCGTCGAGTCGCGAGACGAAGTGCTGGAGCTCATGGCCCAAGGCCAAGCCAATCGCACGGTTGGGTACACCAACATGAACTCGGAGAGTTCGCGGTCGCACTCGATCTTTGTCATCAAGATTCACCAAAAAGACTCGCTTGACGAGAGCAAAAACGTGTTTGCCAAGGTCAACCTCGTGGACCTTGCGGGCTCGGAGCGCGCTGCAGGCACGGGCGCCGTCGGCACGCGGCTGAAAGAAGGCGCCAACATCAACAAGTCGCTCAGTGCACTCGGCAACGTCATCAACGCACTCGTCGAGGACGCGCGAACGGGCAAAAAATCGTTCATTCCGTACCGCAATTCCAAGCTCACGCGTGTGCTTCAGGCAACTTTTACTTGATATCTTGATAGATTGATAGATTCGGGGTGTAGGAGTCGCTTGGCGGCAACTCACTCTGTTCGATGCTTGCGACGCTCTCGCCCGCCAACATCAACTTTATCGAGACCCTCGGCACACTCAAGTATGCCAGCCGCGCCAAGTCGATCAAAGTCAACGCAAAAAAGAACGAAGAAGCAAGCCAAATCTCGCAGCTCAACGAGGAAATCGCGGCGCTCAAGAAGCGGCTCATGGAGCAGCAGAGCATTAGCGTCGACCCGGTCGAGAAGAACGAAATGATTGCGCGCTTTGAGAAGCAGATCCAAGAGATGGACGCGGTCCGGCTACAGACGTGGGAAGACAAGGCCAAATTGAGCAAACAACACGAGCTCGAGCGCAAAAAATTGGCCAAAGAAAAGGCGCGCGCCGACCAAAAGACCCAAGATGAAAAGGTGAAAAAGTGGAAGCTTCTCGAGGCAAAAGCGGACATTGAACTCGCGATGCGGGCGACGCGCGAGCTCGACGTCGGGACCGAGAGCTGGATCCACATGGCGGCCAAAGCCAAGGCGCTGGAGCAAGACGTCAAGGACGCGCGGACGCTCATTTGTGTCTTCAAAGACTCGTTGGACAAGGACGTTCTCAACTGGAAGGGCACGGACGACGACGCATCGTCCGTGCACGTGACGGCCAACCAACTGTGCACGAAGATCAAAAACATACAAGAAGAGAGCGCCAAGATGATGGCCCTCGAGAGCGAGCTACTGCGTCAGACAAGCACCGTCTTGGATGCAATTGCAACCGAGATGGATATGCTGCAGCGCAGCTGGACGACCGCGGTCGCAACGACGCCGCCGCCGACAAAGGAAGCCAAAGTGCTCTACGAAGATCGGGACAAGGCGCTGAGCATTACGATGCACATGGTGCAAGCCTACCGCGCGGCCTTGCTGAGCACGCTCAAGGCGGAGCGGAAGCGCATTTTCAATGTACGCTGCCACGATGCTGCATATGATTGAGAGTACAATCGTGTTGATGGTCGGATGCAGATGCACGACGCGGCCAAGCTCCTCAGCAATGAGCTCCAGGCCCAAGTCGAGAGCCCGCACATGGCCGATGACCGCAAGAAGGCGCGCATTATGGCCCTTAAGTCGCTCGCCGGCGCGCTCGAGGCCATCTCGGACGCGTCGCACGCGAGCAAGGCGAGTGGGAATGACGCGCCTCCGGCGTACGAACCCAAAGGCGATGCGTTTGCATTTGGACTCGAAAAGCGACTGCTTGGCGACGACCGGCTCTCGGCGTCGTCGGGCGATGCCAAAGCTGCACGATTGCACGGGTCGGGGTGCTGGGCGCCGTCAACGGGCGACTTGACACCGTGGCTGCGCATCGACTTGGAGAAGCCTCGGTTTGTATCCAGCGTCAGTGTCCAAGGCGGCGTCTTGGGCCAAGCCAGTGCCGAGGACCCGTCATTGGACTTGTCGAAAGAGCGCATGGAGGCCGTGTTGAGTCAAGTGGCGGCGACTGCTGTCAGCGGGGACCACGACCAGACGTACGAGATTGCAAAGTATGGCTTCACGTCCGACGCTATCGTGACATTGATTGCGCTTCGTAGACACATTATGTCGTGGGTCAAGTTGCTCAAGTCGCCGCAAATCCCAACCAAGCTCTTTAGCCGGCCACCCGTCCGGTTCCTCCACGATGTCATCACGCAAGTGGCTGTTAACACGGGGTATGGCAAAGACGTCTTTTTCGAGAAGGACAGAGACTACAGCCAGCTCACTGAGAAGAAAGACAAAGTCGAGTACCTTCTCAAGGTTCTTCAGCTCGTTCAAACCACGTATGCAGCCATCGCAACAAATCAACGACGCTGTATGACATTGGCATATTAGGTTCCAAGGGGTACTCGAAGTCAAGGCCACGGACGCCAACATCCTCGCCGGAAAGGAGCCAGAGCAAACGATGCAACTGCTTGGACTCTTTTGCCTTGGTGCTATCCAACACGTGGCCACGCACGGGGCCCCCGTGCCGCAAGAGGCGTGGATCACTCAACTTCAAATCGAATCGAGCGTTGATGGGGAGACGTGGGGACAGCTACCCGCCCCGGTGACGGCCAATGCCGACGTGACCGCGGTTGTCGTTCTGGCATTGCCACCCAACACGGTCGCCCGGTACATCAAGCTACTACCGACCAAGTGGCAGAACACGCCAGCGCTTCGGGTCGAGGTGACGGGCATGGCGGCCGTGAGCGCCGATACCGGTGCGGATGCAATCCAGGCCGAGATTCTGGGCTACCTCGGACTGCTGACCAACCTCTTCTCGGCGGGCGAGCTCGTCCTCGAAGAGGCCAAGGTCAAGTGGGCTCAAGCCAAGGACAGCCAGCGTGAAAAGCAAACTGCACTCAACAACCTAGTTCAAGAGGTTTCAGCTGCGTCTCGAGTTGGTCTTGACGTAGCGATGTATAGATGGACACATGGAAGGCCCAGACGCAGATGCTGCAGGCCAATTTGGACGCGGCCAACAAGGCCATTGACAAGTGGAAGGCGGACAAAGGCGAGTCGGACACCAAGCTCTCGGCCGCGACCGCTCAAATTCAAGTTATTGCCGCGCAGTGCAAGGCCACGGAAGACCACCTTGCGCAAGCCAAAGCCACGATCGACGCGCTGACAACCCAGTGTGCTGAGCTCACGCAAGCGAACACTGCTGTCCAGCACCAGCAGACGCAGCTCCAGGCGCAATTGACGTCCATGACGCAGGTTCGTTTTTCGATTCTTTCAATGTATCAAGGTATCAACGTGAACTAGTCGAAAGCCGACTTGGAAAAACTTAGCGAGAGCTTGCGCACGCAATTGAGCTCCAAGAGTGCGCTAGAGGGCGCGACCGACTCGCGCATGGCAAGCCTCTCGGCCGAGCTCCAAACCGTCACGATTCAGTTGGACGAAGCCAAACGCAACGTGGAGCGGACGGCCAAGGCGCTGGCCGAAGCCGAAGCCGAAAAGGCAGCCGCGTCACAGCAAATCAAGGCGCTCAAGCTGGACGCGACGACAAAAGACCGCGCCAACGAAGCGATCGAGGCCAAGTTCAAGGCGGACGTCGCCGACCTCCAGCGACAGCAAGCAGCGACGAACGCAGCGCTGCAAGAGTCAACGGCCCAACGCTCCGAGGTGGAAGACCAGGCGCAGCGAGCCCAGGCGTTATTGGCCAGCCTGCAAGCCGAGCTGTGCGTGTCACCGATGGCGTCTTGATAAATTGAAAGTGTCGTGAAATTAGGGACGCCATCAAGAAGCGACAGACGGAGAACGCGACGTCCGAGATCAAGCGCCTCCAGGACGAAGCCAGCGAAGCCGAGAAGCGGTACTTTTCCGTACAGACGCAGCAAGTGCGGCTCCAAGCCGACAACGAGCGGCTCGAAGCAAAATTTGCTGCTGCGGACGAGAAGGTCCGCGTGTTGGACACCAAACTGCTCGAGGCGACGGCGACGATCGAGTCGCTGCAGCGCGAGAAGAAGGCGCTCGAGGAGCTCGAGGAAGAACTCAACTTGCAGCTCCAAGTCGTCACCGAAGAGCGCGACTCGGCGCGCCAAAAAGAAGAAATTCTCTTTTTTGAAAACGCGGAAAAAGATCAAGAAATCGAGCGCATCCGAGACGGCTACGGTAGACTTCTGCCCGTGAGCGGTTTTGAGACACAGTGTATCTGCTAGTGTGGGTCACGGACCGCATGAACAACAAGGAGGACGAGCTCGCCGAGCTGCAAGAGCAAATTGAAAAGTACCACAGTCTCCTTCGACTCTCGACGAGTAGCGGTAACGCTGTCCCCATTCAATCGATAGCGCTCACAAATCCCTTGCATCTAGAAACGCCCAGTCGCCCGGGCTCGAGTCAACCCGCGGCACCGAGCGTCGGGGATCTCACGAGCCTGTACCGCATCGCCTTTCACAAAGGTATAGGTTAACACTGCCGATGCTATCACGGCAGTTTGCAATAGACTGCCCAGCGTCGGCGTCGCCGAGTGAGCTCCTGCAACAAATTACGCACTGGATGCGAGCGCAGTCGCCCGTGGACAACGCGCCGCCCGAGCGACCGACGACGGGTCCATCCAGCCAGAATGTCATCCCGTCCGAGCCGCCAGCAAAGCCAGTCACGACTGTGAAACCGGCGGCTGTCACACCCGCCAAGCCGCCAGCGACCAAGCCCGAGGCGCCACCGACGTTTGTGACGCAAGGTGCGACACACACCAAGGCGCCCGAGGTCGTGGTCAAGCGGCAAGTGTCAATCGAAGACTTGTCACCGCCGATGCGCGTCGAGTCGAAGCCGGTGCTCGTCACGGGCAAGTCGGTCGCGTCCGAGATTTACGAAGACAACGAGTACGACGATGACTTTGATGCGGCCGACGACGACGACGGGGCAAAGCGCGCCAAATCCAAGCGGCGGAGTCTCTCAAAAGGCGAGGCTACTGTCGAACCCGTGCCGGTGCTTTTGACCACGTCCAGTAGCGCCAACTAATGTCCACCCTGTAATATATATGTACGACTACACTACGACACTTGTGTGCAAATGGAGACTGTGGATGGTTGTGTATCAATGTATCAGTGTATCAGAAGGAATGTTCTCGGAACCATGGGGCTCGAAAGTTCGCGATCTTGAAGGGACGCGCCAACCGCCTGTCCAGTGGTGCGCAGAGAACGATGGTCGACGACTTGCAGTCATCGGAAGAGGTATGGCTTGCTCGTATCAGCAGCGGGAACACAAGGTGTCTTTGCGCTAGCTAGCCTTTGTGGCTGAAGAAGTCGACCGCATCATCCTTCAGGTACGCGACGCTGTGGTGAGCGACACCAAATGCCATTGTTCTAGTCGGTCGAGCACTTTCTTAAGGATCGGTCGTACGAAGAGACCGAGGTATCGCACTGGGTCGACTCAATCTGCGACGGCATCATGAAAGGCCTCTGCGAACTGCGCAAGCCGCTCAAGTACATTGGTATGTGCTTCCCCAGCCTTGCTCTTTCCGTCACGCTGTCCTGTAGTGAGCTGCGTCATCATGCAAAAGAACGGCGCGGGCGTCCACTCGGCCGTGTCTTGCCATTGGGACACGGCCATCGACGGTACTGTGTCCTCTTCTGTCAAAGTTGTATTTGGAGCGCATTGTTAGGTGCACATGTGGTCAAATGGCCAAGCGACAAGCACAAGGAGCACAACCGCACCATGTACTGCATCGTGACCGTCGGCGGACTCGGGTTCTAGGCGTAAACGACGCATATTCAACAGTAGTACATTGACCGATCGTGTTGAGTCTCAAGGATCACACAGCAACAGAGACACCCGTTCAGGCTTAGTACATGGCATTTGCTCCAAATGAAGAAACCACGCAATTAGCTGTGGCGCTTTCCACTGAGCGTCGTTGATTTTGACGTGAGGTGTCGCTTTGAAGAGATAAGGTACGGCATTGATTGAGCCAATCACAGCGTCGACTAATTCGGCAAGACCAAGACGGTCAGGTCATGTTTCGTGGCGCCATGACGATGCCAAAACGATCCAAGCCATCGGTGCCCAAGCCGACCCTGCCGCAGAACGTCTTTACCAAGATAGTGAGCTACCTCGACAGGCACACTACCTTCTTTGCGGCACTGGACGCCCTTGCAACGGTCGAGCGGGATCCGTTCCTGCTTGCCCTTTCGACGCTTCGCCAAGACTGCGCACCATGGCAGCTCTGGCCACTTTTTCATGCAAGCGACGTTGCTGCTGCATCCGGAGGGCTCGGGGCAGTGTTTGATCTCGCTTTGAGCAACCACCCGCTCGTGCAACTGGAAACCAACAGTCCGGTGCGGTACTTTAGCATGGTCTCGGGCGACGTGCACCTGACGGCGGACGCGGCGATTCTGGTTCATCTCAACGACGCGTCCTTGGCAAAGGTGACTGACTTGGCCGTGGAGATGGCCATCGGACAATCGCTCCAGGGCGTGATGGCGCACGTGACCCACGCCCGCCGATTGCGATCGCTCAGCCTCTCGCTGAACATTCGTGAGTTTACCCAAGAAGCCACGCCCGAGGTACTTCGCGAGGCGGTGCCATCCAACCTGCGGTCGATGCGGCTGAACGTCTTTGGGCGCAGCACGCCCCTTGCCGATGAGGCCACGGCGCGCTACCTCGCACAGGTGCTTTTGTCGTTACCCATCACAGCGCTCGAGCTCCACTCGGTGCGAATGGACGTCTTTGCCGCGCGAGTGCTCTACGATGCGATGGTTGATGCACCCAAGCTGTGTAAGATGGTCCTTATGGCAAACACGGACCTTGCTTGCATGCTTGCGGCCTTTGGCCAGCCGTGGACGTGCCACCGTCCTCACGAGCATGAGTCAAGCTGCAACGAGAGAGCATTTGCGTCGGCCAAGCTCGTCTTTCCCAACATTGAGTCATGGACCATCGTGCCACGGCAGTCCGAGACAAGCCGCGCCTTGCAGACGCTGGCTGTCATGACCCACGCGCGTAGATTCTCGGTGCACCTTCTGGGCGATCTGGACGAGACAGACTTTGTAACCAAGCTTTTGCCGCGCCTTGGGCGACTCTCGCGCTTGCAAGGGGCTCAACTCTCGGGGCAGCAACTCTTTGCTAACGCGTCTCGCGTCGCGCTGCTGATCGAGACACTGCGCGAGTTGCGTCATCTGTCGTCGTTGCGCCTCAACTACACGGGTCTCGCGACGGACGGTCTTCGATCGCTGCTGCCGTTAATGGCCGCGCACCCCCAGCTCGCGCATGTCGACTTGGGTGAGAACAACTTGGCGGACGACGCGGTGCCTTTGCTAAAACAAGTGATTGCAATGCCGCAGATGCAGTCGCTTTGGGTCACCGCCAACAACCTCACGGACCGTGCCAAGCATGAACTCTGTGACTACCTGCGTCAACTACGTCGGTCGTCACTGCACTTGGGACTGGACGACGGCGATCTCAATTGCGATGTGTAGCAGACCTTGATCGGTACACGTCCATTTCCGCGTTCAAAGCATTGAGCTGCGAGAGCTCTTAGATGAACTAAAATGTGAGTCCGTTGTATGAGTAAAGCAGGCGCAAGTGTCGAGGCTCAACGAGCGTCTTCTGTGGTGTCGTAATCTGTCGTGCAGTAGCCAGTCGACGACGCACTCGCATGCTGCACCGACGGCCTTTGGTTTGCAGCATTAGCACACTTTAACTCATATTTTCGTTTGTTTGTTCTTTTGTCGTATGACAATGATACGGATACGCCCGCCGGTAGAAACGCCGTCGCCAGTCGCCGGTTTCGCAGAGCATGTCGGCGCTGCTCCTCTCGTGGCTTCGGTCGACGGCGCAGTTGCCGCGGTCAATCGAGTGCCTCGAGCGGGATCTCAGCAACGGGTACCTTCTCGGCTACGTTTTATCATCGCTCGAGCTCGAGCCGTCGCCCGAGAGCTACACCGACGCCGACGACCTCGCGTCCGTGCTCCGTAACTTTGAACGCCTCGAGAAGTCGCTGCATGGCGTCGGGATTCGCCTCTCGCCCGAAGCAGCGCGCAACATCATGATGGAGAAGAAAGGCGCGGTCGCCAAGGTTTCAACCTCTTGCAAGCTATGTCCTTAGCGTAAATTCTAGTTGCTCATGCAGCTCAAAGAACACGTCGATCGAAACGAGGCGTCGCGACCCAAGCCGACCGAGCCAGCAACCGCGTCGCTGCGCCCGCCACCGGCTGGGAGTCACCGTCACATGCCCGCGCCCGATATGACGGTGCATGCTCGTTGCGCCATCGCCGGTACTATAAGTTTAGGTAGAGCCCAAGGGATCGGTTTGTGGAGAATATCATCGCGTCGATTGACCCGTCTGACTGGAACAACCACAACCGCGTGGATATGGCGATCCACTTGCGCAAATTTACCGAATTCATGTGGTCTGCGTCGGACGCGACCGCTGCCGTAGGCGCCAGCGCCCGTATCGTGTCGCTCACGCCACGGATGTACTAGCACTTTGCCTCGGAGCACGACCAGAAGGTCGCGGCCGCCCGCCGCACGCGCGACGACGAGCTCACGCACACGCATGACAAGCAAGACTTCCTCGAACAGTGGTCGGCCATGGGCCGGGACAAGTGGACGGCCAACCAGGCAACCCTATTCGCCGCCGTCTTTTCCTAACGTTTCTGTGGACATAGGCGGTCAAGCGCAATCGGGAGGCCGAGCAACTGCAGTTTGAACTCAGCTTGCGGGAGCGCCGGCGCGTCATCATTGCCCACGCAAACGAAGCCGCGGCCATCGACCTTGCCGACGGTGTCTCGAGCTTTGATAAGAATTTCAAGCGGCTTGGTATTAGCTCGGGCGACGATGACAGTGGCGTGCGCTTGACACCAGCCAAAGGCTCCGGGCTCGACCACCTCGTCGAGCTTGAGAACCGTGTCGCGTCGTTTCATTTGCGCCCGTCGAGCAACATTCAAATGATGAAGGAGCTTCGCGACCGGCGTAAACTGCACCTCAACGCGCAGCGCGAGCGCGCAAGCCGGCGCCGCAAGATGCTCGTAGACCAGACACGCAATACGATCGAAGTGCGCACCTTATTTTGTGCGGTGATTATCCATTTATCATATTGTACTATCGCAATAGATCAACCGCAAGCAAGAAGAGGCCGCGCTCTTGCATCGGCTCTTTGTCGTTGGCAAGCGCCGACGCAACGTGCTGCGCACGCTGTGGGAAGCGCGCCACAACCACGAAAAAAACAAGGGCGAGGCCAATGTCGCGGCCACCGAGCGCGTCATCGCCTACGCCGCAACGATTGAAGCCGCGGCCGCCAAGAGTCTGGACGAGCTGCACGCCGCTGCGATGGCGCCGGATGCGGTCGCTCGGCGCGCCGAGACTCTCCGGGTCGCCATCGACGACGCCCGCGTGCTCGACGAGCGCAAGCACGAGGCACACACGTTGCTGTGTGCGGATGTCCTCGACACTTTGCTGTCGTTTGTGCACACTGTTGTCGTCCACCGGTAGACTCGATTCTTTTTTGTACAATCTTGCCATGGAGAATATAAACATTCTAGCGCGTCAACGCGTCAGCCCATGCCGGCGCCGCTGTACCGGTCACTCAAAGCACAGTTTGTCTCGGGCGCTATCTGCGGACGCTCGATCGACAATACACGGAGCGAAAGCGGGTGCAGTAGCATCGAAGTCGACTACTTGCTGCGCGACTACGTCCGCAACGACGGTGTCTTTGGCACTCCCGACTTGGGCAGGCCGCCGCCGACGACCGACGTCGACGCAGTATGCGCTGCAACGGCGTATATTGTATGCGCTCATGGGATCGTAGATACAAGCAACCATTCATGCGCTCGCGACGACGCCACCCAGTGAGCTACTCACGACGTCGTGGCCACCGCTCTTGTCGGCAACGTCCCGGCCGCTCCTGCTCTGCTGGTACGCCAAGGACACCAGTAGCAACTTCGCAGCGGGCCTCGCGGCATCAACGGGGTTGCAGCTGCTGACCGTCGAGGCGTGCGTCGATCGGTGTGTCAAGCTGAGCGAGCGGGGCAAGCCAGCCGCGGGCGAGAAGCCGTCGCCACTCGAAGTACGCGGTCCATCGTCCAGTAGGCTGTCAAAGACCCGATGCATCGTAGGTGGAAATGGCAGCGCTGGGTACCAAGATGGCCCAGGCGCGGTCCAAAGGCAGTGCGATCCCGGACGCTGTCGTGGCCGATGCGGTGTGCAAAGCGTTGGTGCACGTCTTTGCGCAAGCTAACGCCGCGACGTTCGTCGGTGTGCTCCTCCTCAACTTCCCGCGGTGCGCTTGAAACATTGATACTCTATCGACCTTTCATGTCTAGCTCCAAGGACGAAGCCAAAGTGTTTGAAGTCGAGATGCTCAAGCGCTACCATGGGATCTCGGACGCCGAGCTAAGTCTTCGAAGCGCGCAGCTCACCGCGTCCTGGGACGAGAAGGCCGTCGTCATGGAGAGCGCGCCGCCGCCTCTCTCAAGCGTCGACTGGGTCCTCTTCCTCGACGCCACCACCGACGCGCTGGTCGCCGGCGTTCTCGACGATGCCGCCAAGAGGGATGTTTACGCACGAGCCGAGACGTGGGCGACGACGACGGCCGCGCTCCAAGCCTTCTGGAAGCCGTTTGGCTGCGCAGTTACGGTACGAGCGCGCTCCCACAAAGATATTGTAGCAAGAGAAATGGTCTAGTTGAACACAACGACGACGCCGGCGCTCGCGCTCGACGAGACGCTGCAGGCGCTGCTGCGACTGACGCCAGACGCGCACCATGTGTTGCACGCGACAGACCCGGACGACTTTGGCTCGGCGCTCGCAAAAATGAAAAACGACCGCCGACAAACCATGTCGCCCCCCGAGCTCCTCGTCGTGCGTGATCGATGCGGCGAGCACTTGCTTCCGTGGGCGTCGCTTCGGGATCTCGACGATGCTATCAACTACCACGTACGCTCTCAAATCATCGCCATTCGATGCCAGGAGCTTGGGTAGGACGTGGAGCAGTGCCATTTGGATCGTGTTCGAGCACTGCAAGCGTTCTACGAGAGTCTGCAGAGCTTTTCCCGGCCGTTCCTGCGCCTACGCACGCAGTTTCTCGCTGTGTTGGACGCGAATTCGTCCCAGCAGACGCTCTTGGACGCCGCCTTGCATGATCTGGCCGCGCCCATCGCCTTTGCCACGCCCAAGGAGCGCCACGAACACGTTCACGTACGTGCACCCGATAGAGATGGACGTACATACGACATGGTGTAGCGGCGCCTCATGGCGCTTGAAGTCGACCTCGGTGACCTTGTCGACGCCGTCCGATGCCCAGCCAACCGCTTTTTGCAGTCGCCCGAGAACTGGTCCATGTCGACCGACGCCTTTGTCGAGAGTGTGGTCAGCTGGGCGACGGCGCTGCTGCGCTCGGAAAAGAAGTCGCTCTTGCGGCGCCTCCGGCACTTGCTGTCGTACTTTGAACTGGTGGGTCCGGTCGCTGCCGCGTCGCCAAGCGAGAGAGACGCTGGCGTTCACGTCGCCACCGATCAGGCCCTGCCACCAAATTCGCCTCTGCTCGAGACGGTTCATGACATCGTCGCCGACGTCCTCATTCGCCCGTCCTCGGACGCCAACGATCTGCAGTCGGTCGTGCTGGACACCGAGCGCGCTTTGTTTTTGCGCCGGTGTGTCGGCATCGTCCGCTTCGTCGACACGATTGCGCGTCGGGTCACGGGCTTGGTGGACGTCGAAAAGTCGAGTCTCGACACAGCGCTATTGCAATTCGTACACCAGGAGTTTCGACACATTGTCAACGTCGTCCAAGCCCTTCGCGACGCACCCACCGTAGTTCGCTGGCCGCGGCTGCAGTCGCTGACGACACCACTCGATGGCCACGGCATTCGGATCGCGCATCACATGTCCTTTCTGAGCGTGACGCACTTGCGTGCGATCGTCTGTGCGCTGCAGACAGCGACGACGCACGGCCAACAGCTGTCGGTACCTGTGTTTACAGCGACCGTCGTCGAAGTGGCCACTGCGCAAGTGCTCCCGCCCGTCTGGGCCTCGTACACGGCGGTTGCCAACATGGCAATCGCGTTTGCTACGGCAGAGGTGGTCGACTGGCGCCGCCTCGTGCTCTCGCTCGCGACGGCCCAAAAGCTCCCCGTGCCCGACGTACGCGACCTGGAAGCGCTGGTGTTGCACTGGCGCACGCCTCGGGCGCTGAGCGCCGTCGTCGACAAGGCGGCGTTCTTGAGTGCGCCGCTGTGGTGCCATGAGCCCGCGTACCAGCAGCTGCTGCATGAGCTGTTTGCGGACGCGACGACGGGCGACGTGGCGGTCGTCCCGTTCCTCTTGCATGTCTGTGCATCGAGCTACCCGCTCGACGTGCTGCCGCCGTGTCATGGAAACTTAGCTCGCTTCTCGCGGGGCGTGGCCAGAGCCATCTACGTCTTGGAGCACTGGCCGTCCATCAACGGCAATGCCACCGACGATTCGGCGTCAATCCCAGCTCTGGTCTACGCGTTTGCTGCTGTCCCAATGCCTGAGGATATCGACGCTTCGTATGGGGCCCTCGTCGACCACGGCGCGCTTCAAGCCAAGTTTGCACGCCTCAACGCCTACGACTACTTGCTCGAGCACGAAGAGGCATCGTAGTGACGTTAACGTCATGCCTTATACGACACGGTTATACTTAAAGTACATCCTACACCCTATCCCTAATCGACACGGGAGGACCGCCCTCTACTAGTACGCACGATGCCAACCTGGTCGAGAGCTTGCACCCGCTTCTTCGCACCGGCGACACCAGTGTTGAGCTGATGCTTGCGACCTCACTGACTCGAGTCAAAGGAGATCTCGTTGCGTGCCTGGGACACGGTTCTTGCTCGTGCAAAGCGCTGGTGTTGGTTGTCTCACTGCTCCCACATACATACCCTCGACCCATATTTGCCCTCGATATGGATGGTCGAAGGACCCGTCGTCGTCAGTAGGAGTCTGCTGTTCAAAGTTAAATAAGGAACACGCCCTCGGGCAGGTCGTCGGTGGTGGTCTCCCCGGGGGTGGTGGGGGTGATGTGTTTCTTCTTTCGCTTGGTCGGGGGGCCTGCGACGCGCGTCGTGCGGCGAAGCGTCTTGCCAACCGACGACGCAGTCTTCTTCCCGCGCACCCGCGCAGTCGGTGCGTCGTCTTCCACCACATCGAACCGCCACTGGATCGCGCGCCAGCGCTTCCGAATCTGATCGGGGTACCGCCCGGGCAGCATGGCAGCAATCTCCGACCAGGCGTTGGTGCCATGGAGCCGAATGCCCTCGGCGATCACCGTGTCGTCGGCTTCGGTGAAATGGTCGTACTTTTTGAACGGGTTGAGCGAGTCGCGGAAGCGCTGGCTGCACATGACGTTGGTGCGACCAGGCATAAGATCTTTGATCTTGTTCCAGTCGAGAGTCGCGCGGCTTGTCAGAGTGCCGTCGGGAGCTGCAGCCATGACGTACATGGCGAGCAGCAGTCGCCGGTCTTCCTCGACCGAAAAGTGGCCGGTCGTGACGGTCGGGCAGAGCGAGTTGCGCCACCGGTACCCACACTGGTCGGGCGTGTGCCCGATCGCGAGCTTCTCGGCCACGAGGCGCCAAATGTTGGTCTCGTTCCCGGCCATCGTCGTCATGACCGCGCGCAGCAGGTCGTCTTCCTCTTCCGTCCATACGCTCGGAAAGAGCTCGTTGTTGCAGATCGTTTGGTACCGAATGAGGCACGACACGGGAAGACGCCGTGGAAAGCCATGCTCGGTATGGAGGGCGAGGGCAATCGCTTGCCAGTCGTGGCTCGCGGCGACGACCAGCCGGGAGAGTGCTTCGTCTTCGCGCGGTGTCCACGCAGACGCCTTCTCGAGTATCTCTTCTTGTAGAATCGAGTGTCGCAGCTGGCACGCGCGCGGTGTGCGGTCGGCCAGCCCGGCCTTGGCGCGCACGCGGTCCCAGTCGATGGTGCCGTCGTCGGCGTCGAGCGCGACGATTGCCTTATTGAGGCCACTCACCTCGGATGGTTTCCACTTGCGAAACAAGAGCATTTTCGGGTCCGGGTACCGCTGCTGGATGATCGTTAGGTTTTGCACGTCCGGGTTGGTGTAGTACAGGCTCACGCTACCGCCGTGGACCCGGGCGCAGGGCACTTGGAAGAACGCCGACCGCTTCTCGCGGTATGCGCCAAGGAGCCGCTTCTTCGTACCGCGTGCCAAGGTTTGCGGCGGCGGCTGCATCGCGAGGTGCACCTCGGTGTACGTGACGCGGTTGGCGGTCGCGGCCGCGACCTTGTCCGCCAGCACCACGTCGTGGCGCTCGCGCTTCCGCGCGCGGATCGCCCGCAACCGGTCGTGGATCTCGGCCTCCTTCGCGTCGCATTTCTGCACATACGCCTCGAGCGCGCGCACGTAGGCAAAGTTGGCGGCCAGCGCAGCCTCGACCTCGTCCATGGGCCGACAAGATCACGAATGCCATGCCAACCGCCCTATCCGGCGCATTCCGCGTAGTATCCGGATGCAAGCCCAACGAAACGCTGGCCGCAGCGTGCACCCGGCCGCGGCCGTCACGGACGCGCTGATCGCCAACCAGGCGTACATGACCGCGCTCGAGGAGACGCTGCGCGTGCTTGAGGCGCGCGAGCACGCGATCCAGACGCGCATCTGCGCAATTCGAACAAAGGCCCGGAACAAGGTCATCCAGCCGGCCATGGCGGACGCACGCATCCAGGCGGGACTCGCCGCCCACAGGCAGGCGGAAGCGACGGTCCAGTCGCTCGTGGCACGCTTCGAGACGAGCTTCAAACCGACGCCGCGCGCGGCGAAGCGCAAGCTGCCGTTCTTGGCCGCCGAGTACGTGGTGCAGAACGCTGCCGGCAAAGTCGTGCCCAAGCGGATACCGCCGGTCACGTCTGCGTCGCGACACCTCGCGCCGTACCGCGAAGAGCTGCGCGACGTCATTGGCGCATCGCGCATCCTCGAGCGACGAGCAAACCACATTAAGCGCACCTTGCAGCGACTGCCGCCCGAGCCGTCGGCCATGCAACCCGACGACTGGGTCGCGTTTGTCGCCGAGCACGAGCTCGCCAAGCGGCCATTCCATTACGCACTCGCATGGAACTTGCAGGTATCGCCGCACTGGCGGCGCGCCAAGTGGACGCTGAAAGAGGACGAGGCGCTCGCGACCTTGGTCGAGACAGGCGCGACGTGGGACGTGATTTCAGCGCAAATTGCGCGCGTCTGCAAAACCGCAAAGCGCCGCCCACCAGTCGACTGCCTCATGCGCGTCGTGGCTCTTCGCGCCGAAGCGACACGCCTCGCCGACGCCGGCCCACCGTCAAACGCAGTATTCGACCTCAGCCCACAAGCAGACCGCCGCCTTCTCTGCGCCGTGTACATGCTGCGAGCAAAAAATATGGAGGCCATCGACTGGTCAAACATCAGTCGATTCGTTGGCGTACAAGCGACGATCTGCCGCGATCGCTACTGGACGTACCACGCCAAGTTGGCGCGGCGGGGCCGGAAG